TGCACCTGGGGTGACTGGAGAGGATTCTGGGCAGCTGATTGGTGCACCTGGGGGGACTGGAGAGGATTCTGGGCAGCTGATTGGTGCACCTGGGGAAAGTGAACTCTCTTGCCAGTCTCGGTGTGTGTGACCCTGGATCCCGGGGCCAGGGAAGGGCTATCTTGACAGGGACAGTGACACACAGAAAGCAAACCCCGCCACAGGGAGACAGACAGACTGCAACGTCATTCTTGGACGGCTGGTCGCAGCCAGGCCTGAATGCCACTTCGTTGGCCCCGCAGGCCAGGGGTCCCTCTCTCTGCTGACCTCACGCTAGACCCGAATAAAAGAACCTGGTGGCCAAGGGCCGTGACCTGCCCTGGCAGGGTGAGGGCCATGGTCCCCAAGGGCAGGGCCTGGGCCCCGTGGGGGGGCGGGGCCAGGCTGGGGGGGCCGCGGCCCCGAGCCTCTCCGCCCTCTCTCCACTGCACCCCCGGCTCCCCGCGGGTACCTGAGGCGTTGAGGACGGGTCGCACGACGTCGGGGTGGCACAGGCTGATGAGGGGAACAACAGGGCCCAGCCACACCATGAAACCCTGGGGGTAGGCGGCCACCAGCTGCGTCACTTCCTGCATGCCCTGCTCTGTGGGCGGGCCCTGCAAGCAATGGGGGGGGGTCACATCCTGAGGAATGATTTCTGACCCCCCCCCCGTCCTGTCTCTCCCAGGGGGTGTGAGATGAGAAGGGCTGCAGTGAGGCAGATCCGGCCTCCGTGTTGGAGGCTGCCTCCTCCTCGCGTCCGTGGAGGATTCTGAGAAGACTGGAAGGTTGGAGGAGCGGGTGCGGGTGGCTCGCCCCGTCAGCCACCCCGGCCCAGCTCGCTGATCCTGTATCCCATAACGTCATAAGCCAAAACCCACTACCCCCTTCCTTCTGTCTTTCATGGACAGACAGACAGACAGACAGACAGATGGAGGTGGTGAAGAGTTAGATGCATACATTTTGTCTTTTTCATTTCATTTCTTAATATTTTTATTGAGATTAGGTGATTCTTAAGTTTCGAGTCTCACAGTACTGTGGAAGGCAAATCGGCATTATCACAGTCCACACACACACACATTGATATGCCCTGCATGTGTTTGCCTGCAAACTCAAAGATCATTCAGTTCCAGTCCTGAGACTTGAACTCAGGGCCTGGGCGCTATCTGTGAGCCTTTTTTTGTTTTGCTCAAGGCTGGTGCTCTATCGCTTGAGCCACAGCGCCACTTCCAGCTTTTGTTTTTTGTTTTTGTCAGTTGTGGGGCTTGAACTCTGGGCCTGGGCGCTGTCCCTCAGCTCTTCAGCTCAAGGC